GCCATGGAGTGCCGTTTGCCATGGAGTGCCGTTGGCCATGGAGTGCCGTTTGCCCCCGCTGCCATCCTCGCCCGCGGGCAGGGGAGAGCGAGCACGGGCCCCTGGCCCGGCTGGAGCTGCTGCCGGAGCTCCAGGCACTCCCCTGGGCACTGCGCTGGGGCTGGCCCCTGCCCAGGTGTGGTGGGGAGGGGAAGAGGGCTCCATCTGGCCTCTTCTTTGTCTTGTGCACCTCTGGGAAAGGAAAGCATGATTTAGCTCCAAAGCATTAAACGAGAAACCCCTGAAAGGCTATCCCTCCGGAATTGTCTGATCCTTTATGGCTTAATATAAGCATGCCTGAGGATTGATGAGGAAAGGATGTTGCTCGTGTTGGTAATTACAAGTTTGCTTCTTTCGGTGTTTTTTATATTCTGATTGTTCCATTTCAGCATTTAGCCTTTGTCGTAGGTGTGTGCAAATGCATTCTGCTGTGTCAGGAGCTTTACTTAGCTATTCATGTGCTCATACCCTTGGTAAGATACTTATCCTTTCAGGCAGATCAAAGACATATGTTTGGTTGTTTGGAATAGGTAAGCAGGAAGAAAGAAATCTCTTAAGAGCAATGACATGGTATAACTGCTAAGTAACAAATATAGTTACATACATATATGTGCATGTCCCTCTAATCATTACTGTTGCCCATGACAAAGAAATACATTGCAGTTGAAATCTTTTAGTTAATTGCAATGTCTGTCAGTCAGCCTGTCTTACCAATGATGTTTTTTCCATTCAATGATCATTTTTCTTCTATTCAAGAGATGAGCTTCTGCCAACAGAGAGAGAAAATATAAGTTTTGGTTTAGGATGCAATGTTTAGACCTCGGTGCTGAAACTAAAATGCATAATTCTTCTCTCTCCACATACAACTAAAGGCAAAAGAGCTAAGAGGTGATTACTGGAATTCATTTAAAGCTCCATGTTTGAGTCACAATATAAGCACGTGATGTAGTTAGTGTTGAATAGGAAATGTGGCGAGATGCAGGTGCTCTGTTTATTTGTAGATTGCAATGTGTGGATAGATAAATAAGTTTCAGTTTAGGAACAGACATTTTTGCATACTGAAGTGTTTAGAATTCAGACAGCCATGGCACTCAGATAGCAGTGGGTCTGCAGGAGCAGGCCTGTGATGTGTGGAACAGATAACATTCAGCAGTGCAGAGACAAGGGGGCTCTGTGCAGTGAGGGGCTGCCTGAGCTGCAGAGGAGCTCGTTCTGGATCAAAGCAGTATAGTGCAGAGCTAGCCTGAGCTCATTAGCCTGGGCGTAATGCCATGCTAATATATCGATACTGCTCCCAGGACCCAGGCTAATGGCTCAGCATGGTGCTATGCTGGGTATTCCCACCAGCTGCTGCAGGGATTTCTGCATTGTATAGTGTAGACATGCCATAAGGTTTTCACACCAGCTCTGTAAGCAAAGAGAAATGAATTAAGGGAAAGATATAGCCGAAGAATTTAAAGAGCAGAGATGTTTAAATTTGGGTTCCTGAATGGTTCCTGAGGAATCCAGTGTAAGTGTTATGGAAGTCAAGGACAGTCTTTGGATCAAACTCAAGAAGTCCAAAGTACCTAGTAATTCCTACTGATGTGATTTTTCAACACCATTTAATTGTATCTCTGGAAAACAGGCTTGTTGAGCTAGTCAGTCAGATGCTGTGCTGCCTTTTGAATTTATCGGGAATGAAAAGTGATTGAAAGCTTCCACTCTTGTTCAGGGAATGTTTTTATGAGATGTAAAAAATAATACCCTGTTGTCTCTCCCTCAAAAACAAGGAACAAGTAGTACACAAACAAGAAGTGGTTGGACTAGTTGATATTAGTTAATAATGATCTAACTGCCCATCTCTGGCTGAATTTTTTTTTTTTTTTTACTTAAAGTAAAAAAAAGTGCTAATGTTTGAGTTATATTTTTATTGATATTTTCACTGACTTGATTATCTGCACCAACCTGTACTTACTTCCTAAGTCTGTAACTCTAGGTGTTAAAGAACCCCTCAAAACAAACTTAAACTAGTAAAGAGATAGTTCATTATATAATTGTGGCCCAGATGCATTTAGGGAGTATAGGAAATTGCAGAACTGAACCTGCTGTTATACTCTGTAGAGCCTTAGATTGCTCAGTGAAGTGCTTAGGCCCAGCAGACTCAGTGCACTATTAATTCCCAACATGGGAGCTGGTATCAACCAACTGAGGTACATAGGAAATCCAAAATATTCCAGTGGGAGCTCTGCCCAGGAAACTGCAAGTTGTGGCCTCAAAAGAGCAGGAGGTAGACAGTTTATGTCTGAGAAGCAGTTTTATATTATTTCAAAAAATGACATACAGACACTAGAACTCCAGCACAAGATATTATTGTCACTAGGTGACAATGTTTATAATGTCCAGTTGAAAAATAAACTTCTAAAATGTAATCTGGTGAGATTTCAATGAATGAGTAAGGAAACAGAAGTGTGAGGGTCAGAACTGGGGAGAGAGGAATTAAATAGTTTTTCTTTGCTGAGACTAATGACATTTTCCTTTTTTTAGCATTGCTGAACTCATTCTGGAGCTTGATAAGAAATTAAATACCTCTTTTGCCAACATCACAGCTGAGGAAACTGAGGGAGAGATATTAAATGTTGGATTTTCCATGTACGTAAGTAACTTGTGTCCCATAGAAAGTCTAACCTGGGATTGTGGTGTCTGTAGTAATGCCCCAGAACTGCTCTTCTCTGTCATCAATGTCATTGATACTGCAAAGATAAAAACCCCACTAAAAAATCAAGGTTGATGTGTTCCTGATTCCCACTCCTCTCACTCCAGCAGTAGAATACTTGACTTTAATACCTGCTTTTTTGATTCCTTGGATGCTTTTCTATTCCTTGAAAATTATTGCATATGCTTGTGCTTTGAACTAAATGAAAACATCTAGTACTATAATAACTATAATTGACATCTTAAATACACTGATTTAAAATTGGCAGTTATATCTTCCAGTAGCATTTCTATGATTTTGTAAACATCACAAGGTAAATTTCTCTTAGAAAAGTCAGTTCTACAACACTGTTCACAACTAAAGCAGGATGTGTGGAAATGGTACCTGCTGCAGAATGTCAGTAGGTCCTAAGGTCAAATCCCTCTTGGGAAATGGTAATAAATGGTATCTCAGCTGCTGTGTTCTGAAAATATTTGTCAGATAAAACTGTTACCTATCCAAGAAAGATTAGAATCTTCTGTGACACAGATGGGAGCATGCAACTGTCTGATCAAATGTGATTAAGTATGTGCCAGTACCCAGAAAGCTGTAGCCTTAAAATGCAGCTCATGAAGCATCAACAAAATTGTATTTGCAGTCTAAACAGGGAGCTATAAAGTGGTAACAGTGGTAAATGCTCATGCTCTAGTGTGCCCCAAAGGTTGTCAGGATGTGTGCTAGGGGACTGTAAAAAGGATCAGAGAACATGGAAAGATGTTTTTGTCAAAACAGCATTCATAAAAAATATTAATCTTCTGTGTGATTCTAAACTGCATTTCTGGTGGAATCTTGATGATGACTCTCTGGTGATTTGGAGCTCACAAGAAGTACTTATTGAGATTAATATTGTTTAAAAGTCCCTGGCTGCTTGGACAATTTCTTTGTATTCCTACCAGGTCACCTGTCCTTGTTTCCACCCTCTGTAGGCTTCCTTTTTGTGTTTGACTTTGTCCAGGAGCTCCTTGTTCATCCACACAGACCTGGCATTTTAACCTGACTTCCTCTTTGTTGGGATGCCTCCCTCCTGAGTTTGGAAGAGGTGATTCTTGAATATTAACCAATTAACTTGGGCCTCTCTTCCCTTCAGAGCTTTTTTCCATGGTACTCTTTAGATCCCTGAAGAGTGCAAAGTTTGCTGTCCTGAAGTCCAGGACAGGGAACTTGTTGTGTGCTCTCTTCACTTCCCCAGGGATCATGAATTCCACCATTTAACGGTCACTTCATTTTTTTTTTAAATTTAAACTTTTCAATATAATTTAATTTCCTTATTGTTTGCAGGAATTTGTGGTGGGACTTGTGGGGGAAGGTGACTCCTGCAACAATTTTCTTTCACAGGTTTGAGAGTAATTTAGTATTGTTTCTCATGGGGCAAAAAGCACTGGAGTCATGTGATTAAAATCAGCCTCTTTTTGCCAATGAGCAGGCCTGTTAGAAGGTGTGTTGAGGGCAGACCAAAGATGTTTGTTGGCTTCTTTGGAAAAAGAGGCTTAAGGAATGAATTTGCAACTTTTCCAGTTTCAGCACGCAGTCTTGAAGTGTCCTTTTCCCGTATTTTGTGTGGGTTAACTGATGACCCTGTGCTTTCTGATGGCAAGCATGAATTCTGGAGTTCACCGTGTGCCCAGGCAGTCTACTCACTCTGAAGCCTTTTGTAATGCAAAATGACACTTCGTAAAGCCAAGAAAATGAGAGGGTGCTGCTGCTACCCTTCTGAGAGGCACATTGCCTCGTTGCTCCCAGAGTCTGAGGCTTGTGACCAGCAGGCTGACATGGCCAAAGGGTTTTGCTGTTCAAGTGCTTCAGGCAAAGCTGAGTCCCATTGGTCGGTCCTGGCACCGTGGACAGACTGCAGTGACCTCCTTTCATCTGCCATACAGCAGAGACCTGTGGGCTTGGCTAGCAAAGGGCAGGAAGAGCAGGATCTCTTTTTGGGAAAGGGGAAATGGCATCTATTTGCCTCATGCTTCCGCCTCTTTGCTGAGAGGTATGTAAAGAGTTACTTCTTTTTGCTCTTCAGTAGCTTTGTTTAATATTAAGAGCATTGTTTACTGCTAACAGAAACCGTCCTTTTGGAAAGGACATGTGCCTCCTTCTCCTTTGTTTGATTCTAAACAACATGGGGAAAAAAGAGGTTTTGTACCACGTTTTGCTGACTCAGTGTGTTCACGCTCACAGAATTAGCATCAATGCTGTTTCTGCTTCTGAAAAATTTGCTGATGTTTGGGAGAAGGTAAGCAGGGGAATGGTGAGAACAGGGGATGCAAATATTTATCCTCCTTTCAATCATGGCTTTTCATTTAAAAATTACTAAGCAGGAAGTAGTTTATAATTTCCTTTATTTTGCTTATTAGCACACGAGTCTCAACAGTCATGGATTAATTCTGTGAGAAGATCTCTCATAAATATCTGGGATGAGCTATACTGCATGATGTACTCCAAAGAGCAATGGATCTTGGAGGCAATGGCTTTTTCCTGCTGTTTAGATAGCCAGCTTAGAAATAATAATAAAAAGACTGTATCTGAATAATTTTGACTCCAGAATGACTGATTTCAGAATGGCTTTAGAAGCATAATAAGAGTGGTGAAAAAGGGTTCCCCTTGGATGGCCCATCTGAAAAGCAGCAGTAAAGGGATGAGATGCAGAAGAAAAAGCCAAAAGCTTTTGGTGTTGCCAGCAAATTAGCCTGTGGCAGATGTGTGTGGAATTTCACAGAGTGAGAGCAGTGGTGTCTTCCCCTAAGTATGAGACAATTTCTGAACTGCATCTTTCCTCTGCTAGCAGGACATCATGTAAACCATGATCAAGCTTTGGTAATTCCTGTGCTCTTAGCTGGTGTACCTTGTCCCCCTGGCAACCAAAAGAATGAACTTAATGAGGAACACTGTAAAAACACACCACTCAAAAGAAAATTAATATTTCATTTTTTGTCTAAAAGACAAGAAATATCTTAAATGACATAAAACTTGATACTGATATTAGTGCAGTGATTTTCCTGGCACCGAAAAGAGTTTTTGGGTCACATCACCAGAAACCATCCTCATGGTTTGGAGATGATGGCACTAGTTCACGCTTCTCCTGTGCCATGGGGAACTTTTACTGTAGGGGAAGCTGGCAACTATATTTTGTTTCCTATCCATTCTGCTGGATCACATCTATTCAACCTCAGCTGTATTTGTGTGAATATATATATATATATATATATATATATATATATATATTCATACATTTGAATCTCCTTATCCCATATGCTATCTTTAGATGTCTGAATAAATTAAAGAGAATGAACTAATATAGAATTAAGAAGGAGTTTTAAGATTGTTTTCTATGTATATATTTAAACCATGAAGGATTGTTTACTTGAACATATCCATTTCTAAGGTGTGCAGGGATTATTGTAATCTATGGATGTGTCTCTGCTGGTATAACAATATAGATGAGGTAACACGTGATTAGGAACATTAGAAGAATTTATAGCACAAGTAGCATTATAAAATATTCTTTGAAGATCTGAAGATCTTAAATGAGGAAAAAAGGGTCTGGTTTTCATACTCTATATTTCCTAACTTCCTTACTGATAGTTTTAATATCTGATTTTTTTTTTTTTTAAGTTTAACATATTTGGAGATTTTATGAATGTGATCCCTGTTCCTCCCTAGTCTTGCCATGTGTTCAAAATAATTTTTTTTATGCCCACAACAAAGTAGTAGCAGAATATGTAGACTTAGGTCCCTGTTCCATACTTCTCAGTGAGAAAGAATGGGCAATGGTAATTTGAAAGAAAAAAAATGAGTCAAGTATTTTTAGTTTGGGTGCTTAGAAAATCATTAGCATTATGGCAGTACTGAAGGATTTTATACTGGCTGAGCTTTCACTGAAATTACCTTTTTATGTCCAAAATACTGACAATGAATGTGTCTCCATATGACAGTTAACCCCAAAATGTTTCTATTTTGGCATTTTTGAAGATGGAGTTTGGAGATTTCCACATTTTTCTCCCTTAAAAGAGTATTTCAGCTACATTCCCTTGAACTGCAAAGACTTCATTCCTATGCATCTCAGATGAAGGCAGCCTTTATCTTAACAGTTTTCTTCTCACTTCCTTAAATGCCATAATGAATAGTTTTTATACCTACCTGTAGATCTGCTAAGTTACTGTAGGAATATGAGAAATCAAATCCTCAAAGGCAGAGACTTGCACAAATTCTGGACCTTCACTTTTCTCTCAGCAGGGTCCTGCTGCTATAGCAGGATCTGCTGTTAGCAAAAGAAAAGACAGTTGGATCTGGTTTGGGCTCAGCTCACTAAAGGAAGGATCTAGAGCTGGAAATAAAATATGACTTTTATTCTTTTTCTGAGCTCAAAGTTTTGGGTTATTTGGATTCAAAGGGCTTGGCTTGGCTGCTTCCAGGCTTTATAAACAATATAAACATCTCTGTTTGGTTGCTTCCCCAGAGGCCATTGATACCCTCAAAAGGAGAATCAGCAGAGGCAGCAATTGCTATTTTGGCAGTAGTTAGTGGTCAGCAGGCAACTTTACCTGTGCTTAAAATATAAAGTTTATGTTGGGGCTTTTCAGAGGGGTCTAAATGAGTTAGGCAATAAATGAAATTTGATGAGAGCTTTGTGCCAATGCTCCTTATGATTCCTTGAAAGTTCCAGATTAGTTTACATCATTCTGGCCTCCTGGGCCAGCACAATGATGAATTACTGTGAGAAACCAGACAGAGTTGCTGATAGGATTTCCACAGAAACCCATGTTGAGGAAATATATGCATAGTTTCATTGGCCAGCCCTCTCTGTGGTTACGTTGCTCACTTTTTAGGAAGAAAAGAAATCTGGGGTACACTTGTCCTTGATAGTGAGCATATGCTGGCAAGGTTGGAGGTGTTTTTATATCTATGATGCTAAATAAAGATGCTCACTTGAGCATTTTGTTTTGGCTGAATCTGCCCTTTCAGGATGCATGTGTAACCTCTTTGTGAATTACTGAAATAAAGGAATTGCCTAATGCAAAAGAGAAATTCCACAAATATGAAACCCTTGGAATGTTTTCTACATCAGCCATTTCCTTTTTCTCTTGTGCAATGTGTATGGATTGTCAGCATGATGTGGTGTGTAGTAACCAACGTGTGCAGGAGGCTATTAATCTTCTTAAAGTCCTGTGTTCATGTAAGATTGGAGAGAGAAGTGGAATTCTGTTCAAACACTCTCAGCTTGTACTTATCTGCCCATATGGATCCTTTGCATACTCTCACAAATGTGAATCTACTTTCTGTATGTATCAGCATGTTCATCCTTCCCTTACACTCTGGGTCATCTGTCAGCTCACGGATCTTGATAGGCTTTATTGATCTATTCCCTTCAAGGGGAAGGAGATTCATATTGTCCTGAGTGTGCTCAGGGTAAAGAGTATGGTGGAAACAATTAGGTCTGACCTGCCACCTATGGGATTTAAATGCCTGAGGGCATGTGCTGTACTTTCAGATATGTAGATTTTGAGTTAATTTATAGATCAAGATTTCATTCTCCAACAACTTGCCAGACAGTGAAGCTTGCAGATTTGTTATACTGCAGCTGAAGTTTAAATAAGAGCTTAACTGAAAAGGAGAGAACTCTTAAAGGCAAAACATTGGAGGAAAAGTGATTTATTAAACTTTTTATTTCCACTGTCTCTGCAATTATAAACTATCGCATTGTATACAGTTTTCTTCCCTACAATGCTAATACTCCCTCTGGTATATGTAGGGCATTTTTTTTCTATGGTGTTTAAAGTCTGAGGCTTTTAGCAGTTTAATGCAAACCAAAGCATCTATATCACGGGACTAGCCTTTAGTTCTCTCTTAGATGCTTTTTTCCTGTATGCAAAATTAGATATCATTCTGAAGGCACTCTTAATTAACATTTTTTTAATCAATGGCTGGATTCTCTGGAGGATTTTTTTTCTATGCATCATTATTTTTCTCTTTCTACAGCAACTTCACAAGCAAATTAAGTAAACAGAAAGAAACACTTTGTGGATTTTTCTTGTGACAGCCTGCAAACCTGTGAACTTTTTTTTTTATTTTTAAGTTGAAGCTGCTAATTGTAGAACTGTATAATTAATGCATTATCCGCGACAACAAGGTTGCGTGGTTTGTGTTTAGCAAACATGCTTTTTCTGGAGGGTGGAAAAATACATAGTGAAAACTTATGGAAACACTATGCTGTTTTTTACCATTTTGTATGACAGCCAGTCTCTCAGCCATCATTAGAGCTGTATGCCTAATCAGAATCTGAAAAGATACCCTGAAAATTGGCTGGAGCCCTGATATCACTGTCTGAGTCCACAGCTCAAACGTGGTGTTTTCACCTTCCAAGATAGGCCATTGCAGGCAGATATTCTCAGAACTGGAATGCTTGCTCTGCTAATTGGCACATTCCTACTTAGATTTGGTAGGACATGCTGATTTGTAGCATGACTCAAGAATTTACTTCTTAGTGGATAATTGCCTCATATTTCCTTAATCTTTCTGTTTACCAGCCTCTTTTCTATAGTGTGCCTGTCTACTGCTTTCAGCATTTGTAATAGTTTTTTATTAGCTAGACATCTTTCTGATTATTTCATATGTTTTTCACTGGTTTGAGAATTTCTTTGCTCCCTGGCCTTTTCATAAATCAACTATGCGTTGGTGTGTGCTGGAAGTGATGGAATGATTTCCTTAAAGCTTGCAGCAAATGATGTTGTATCAATGCTGACTTTGTTACTGCTGTTGTAGAAACATTTTTAACAAATTGGATGATGTGTTCTGTATTCAGAATTCAAATGCAGTGTGTCAAGGGACTTCTCTGCAAACTGAATGCTTGAGAGCCCCAGAAACAGTGTGACCTCTTCCACTATAAAAATTAGAAGCTTACTCATGACTTATACAAGTCTTAATGCATTTCCCAGTCCAAAAAATTAGTGTAAATACCATAGATTTAATTGATTTGGTCTTTTTGGCAACTTCTGTTAATGTAATTTTCCCCCCTTTACTCCCAATCGTTTAATTCTCTTGATTTTAAAATTGTAGTGAAAGGAAAACCATATTGCAATTCTTGGATGAGTTTCATGGTTATTGCCATTGTCCTTACATGGTTATTGATGTCTGAGTGTTTCTTGATGAAACACTTATATCACTATTCCAGATCAAAATACCAGCAGGAAAACACTTCTGCTCTCAAACCAAGTTTACACTGGGTTTGCTCTTTCC